GATGTTTGACAAATTTTCATCATGAAATTAGTATTAACACCAAAACCAAACAAACAGAAAATGTTAATATTTAAAAAAAAAATTAAAAGACAATTGGAAGACAACCTTGTCTTAAGCTTCAGCATGCTTAAGACTCCTGATTCAGCTAGTAGTCTTAATACATAAAGAATTGATATGATCTACACAAAATAAGGCTGGATATAGCTTAAAGAAGTCAAGAATGAAAACAGACCTGATCAAGGTAGGATTTATTTATGAGAATTTCCATGATATCTAGAGATACTGAAACTCAAATTTGGTCACTACCAATCATTTAGGTCTGCCTAACCTCTATCGACGTTGATCAGATGTCAACCATCATTCGCTGTTGATTTTTTTCTAAATCGGCTTTTTTTAAGGAATCGAGTGGTGCGTAGGGCAGATAAAATTATACGATCATAATTGAATAATCAAACAGCATTTATGGAGCTTTTAATGACCCCTCCCCTCGCTACTGATAAAACAGCTTTCAGAATCCTCTATAAGACCCATTAATTAGTACTTTCTAAATATAACAGTTTTTTTCTTTTTTTCTCTTTAGTTTAAGTGATTTCTTACTTTTATAATTATTTCTCATAAGAAAAGGAATTTTCTCATTATTCTTACACTTTATTGCTGTTTATTACCTTTACATTAAATAAAAACTTTATTTTTGAGTGGTGTTTTGGCAGATTACAGTCATGAAATTACTGTTAAAATTAAAACCAAACAAAATGAGAACGTTAATATTTTCAAAAATCAAAATAAAATTGTAAGACAACTTACAGACAAAACAAGTTACATACAAATGTAAAAACACACACAAAAACATCTATAGATAAAATAATGTAAAAATGTAAAACCACCAAAACCAAACCAACACAGAATGTCAATATTAAAAAAACAAAAACAAAAAAAACATCTTAATGACTCACTTTAAATGGCCCATGTACTGATAAAATTGAAATTCAGCATGCAAAATGTTCAAAGTGCTTTCTCACTTCTTGATTAGTTCTCTTAAAAAATAATTTTTCTCAGAATTCTTAGACTTTATCGCTGGTTTTTATTTGTTTATTATTGTAGAAATAATCTGTACAATAGATGTTGGCATTGGTCTTAATACCCAAAATAAAATAAATACCATAAGTGAAAGCAGAATAACAAAAATGACAAATTTTCTAAATCGCGCATAATATAATAATAATATTAAACCCCTAACCTTCCTTAAAAATAATATATTTTGCCCAAGATAACAGGTTTCTCATTTTAACTTCCTTTTCTAATGCAGAAAAGCACGTAAGAAATTTTATTTATTACGTTCCTGGTTGTTTTTATCTGTGAGTGAAACCAAATCTGGAGGGTTTTTTAAATATTTACTACGATCAGAAATGTGGAATTCACATTCAAAAAGGAAGTGTCCTATTTATCTGTGTATCTAATTTTAGGTTTAAACAAAATTGACAATAGTGCTTGGGATGGAATTTATATTTTAAGCCTTTGAGCCCTTATAAGTTGGGGTTTTTACACTAAACATCTTGAGTTGTCCAAAGACACATATTTTATTAATGAAATTATTTTATAGGTCCTGGCCAAACCTGCTAATTTGTCTGAAAATAGGGTTGAATGAATTTGATTGAATTTAATGATTTTTCAATGTCACATGAAAGACTTTTCAAAAAAAAAAAAAATTAATTAGATTACCCATTTTACCCTTTAGAATATTGGCATCTTGTGCTTTCCATACATCTTTTGCTCCAATCATTAAAAGATTGTTCTTAAGAGAAACTGCCCAGTTGAAAGGAATGTTTTTGCATTCAGACAAAGTAACTAACCGGCAGTAAGGCTGCCTTCATGGAGTGAAAATAGTTTGTACACAAACTTTAATTTCCTGTTAAAAAATCGAGTTGTCAAGTGAAAATAACTTGTTTCTAAATGAATTTAATATCCTGGATTATTGAAAGTAACATGAAGGATACGCTTAAAATATTTTTGTTGCACTTTTTTTATTTCATTTCCAAAGTTTGTGCCCCATACCTGAGAACTATACAATAAAATTGAAACTCTCAAAGAATTGAAGGTTTTTATTAATTTTGAGTATTGCCAGATTACTTTTATTTAAAACATAGGTAGCTGCTTGATTAAATTTTCTGGAGGATGAGACCACTCAAATAAATATATGATTTAGAAACCGGTAATGCCACATTCTCAGAGTTAAAACTTTTGAGCCTCCTTATTTATCCTGATTTTTGAAATGGCACAATTGTTAGATATTGTAGATGATTAAATGATCTACAAAAAAAAAATTAAAGCTGGACATAGCTTTAAGAAGACGAGAATCAAAACAGACCTGTACAAGCTAGGATACAATTGTGAAATTTTTCCATGATATCCTGTGGTTATGAACCTGAAATTTGGTCGCTAACTTTCATTTATGTTAACCATCATTCGCTGTTGATTTTATTTTCTAAATCGGCTTTTTTTTGCAATCGATGACGGGGGCGATATGATTGAACTATCATGTATAAACAAACAGCGTTTATCGAATTACTCATCTTGTTACTGATAAAACAGCTTTCAGAATTTTGTATTAGACTCTTTAATTAATACTTTCTAAATATCTATCATGTATAGATAATTTTTTGTCAGAATATTTCTAACTTTTTTAATTAATACTCTTACAAAAAAAACTTTTCTCATGATTCTTATTGTTATTTATGAACTTTACATTACATACAGATGTAAAGACTTATAATGATGCGATGGAAAGTGATTTTTGACAGATTTTCTTCGTGAAACTAGTATTCACACCAAAGCCAAACAAATAAAGAATGTTAATAGTTAAAAAAAAATGAAAAGAGAATTGTGAGACAACCTTGTTTAAAGCCCCAACATACTTAAGACTCCTGATTCAGCTAGAGCTGTAGATTGGTGATCTACAAAAAATTAAGGATGGACTTAAAGAAGTCTTGAATGAAAACACACCTGTACAAAGTAGGATATAATTATGAGATTTTCCATGATATCTAGGGGTTTTGAACCTAAAATTGGGTCGCTACCAATCTTTTAGGTTTACCTATCCTTGCCGGGTTGATCTGTCAGATGTCAACCATCAGTCCCCTTGGTTTTATTTTCCAATTAGCTTCTTTCAGGAATCGAGTGGTGCATAGGGCAGATAAAATTATACAATCATAATTGAATAAGCAAACAGCATTTATAAAACGCTTAATGACTCACTTTAAATGGCATTTTAGTGATAAAATTGAAATTCAGAATGTATAACGACTCATTTGATAGCATAGATGAAATTTTTTTATAAGGATAGCGCAGTAGCAAATGGTTTTTTTTCAGATTTCAATTATGAAACTAGTATTAATAAAAACAAACAAATAGAATGGAAATATTGAAAAAAAATGAAAATTTTAAAAGAGACAGTCTTGTGTTAAGCTACAATATTTAATAAATAAGTTTATTTTATAGATGGTTAGATGTTTTATAACAAATTAAGGATGAACATAGCTTTATGAAGAAGGGAACAAAAACAAACTGTTACCAGTGTAATTACAATAGTAAAAAAGAGGTAAGACCAAAACAAATTTTATAGGAGGAGAACTCGCCTATTAAGAATGACTATTATAGGAAAGCGGCCATCAGGGTTCCAGTTAACGGGGTAGATTAACTGGGATGGTAGTGAATCTGGGCTGGGGTATGCAAAAAGGGATTGATAGAATTTTTAAAGCGGTTTTTGCTGCTTCTGGAACAGTGAGAATTATTAACATTTTAATGTAGAATAAGGTTTGATTGATGAATGGTTATCAATTTTTCTTAGGACTTTTGAACATTTTGGTAGCTGGAATGCTTAGTTGACCCCCCAAAATTTAATATCACAAGTCCACATAGGTTCGAGAATCATGGTTAAATCAATCTTTTGTAGTTTATTGGAAATTGGATCATCTATTATCATTGATCATAGTTTGTAGGTTTTGTTTAGTTCCTTCTATTTTATATTTTTCCTTCATTCTTGTGGGCTTTATTCTAAGTAAGTCATATGTCCCAGAGTGTTTGACAGGGGTACAGTAATTTGCCTGAGTGCGAAGTTTGGGAAGTTTCTCAATAGGTTCTTTATATGAGAAAAAAGTGTTCTATCATTAGTAAAAGTGGTGAGGATTGTTTCTGGGAAAATAGGAATGTAAGCAGTTTACATCATGAAAAATAGAAGTCCAAGAATGCTCCCTTGTGGGATGCCAGCTTGGTCAGGTTAGAAAGGGGATATCACTGTGCTCTGTCTGACTTTGAAATAATGGTCAAAAAGTTGCAATTTTAAGATTAGTTAGTAGGGACTATAATGCAGTCAGCTCCCATAAAATTCTCAATGGTGATGCCATTTACACAATCTCTGAAAGTAAACCATCTGCCATGCATGAAGCCTTGGCAACCTGACAGTTCTCAATCCTGATGAACTTTGATTTTCAACATTTTAATACTCATTTAGAGTTCAATAATGAAAATATAAAAATGATGTAAGAGTTTTTTTTTAATTTTGAAGGTAAAACTTATACATGGACAAAGGCAAACCTTGTTGTAAATTCACTAATTTCATGGTCCGCTTAACCAATTAATATATTACAATTAATTAAGGTTTTTAGTTGAGATAAAAAAGTCAATGGCACGAACGGGATTCGAACCCACGATCTTCGGCTTGATATGCCACTGCTCTACCACTTGAGCTATCGTGACCTCGATGCACTCAGACACCAACTTCCCATCTCAACCACACCTTTTGAATTTTCCCTCCTTTTTGCCATTTTTCAATTGTCTTAAATGTTTCTGTAGAATTGAGGACTGGCGGAGTAAAAACTATGTGCACATAACAAACTAGATTTATTTAAAAAATATCCATGATGATTTTAACCAATCATTTAATAGCACACATCTTTGACAAACCTGTAAATAATATTTATTAATTGTAATTCCTATTATTGCAGAATACCGAAGAAAAAAGCGAGAAGGAGAAGGAACTTATCGGACAAGATGTCATCACTGGCCAGCCCATCACTCTGCTCAATTTCCACGATGCGCCTACTTATCTTCAGTTCAACCCTTATATCCGGTCAGGATATAGAGGATATCTCTCGACTAAGATGTGCTTTGAGAGGTAATTAACACAAATTTTTTAAATTGTTTCAAACTTAAATTCACTAATTTCGTGGTCTGCTTGACCAATTAATATATTACAATTAATTAAGGCTTTTAGTTGAGATAAAAAAGTCAATGGCATGAGCAGGATTCGAACCCATGATCTTCAGCTAGATACGCCGCTGCTCTACCACTTGAGCTATCGTGACCTCGATCTACTGAGACACTAACTTCCCATCTCAATTCAAAAGGTGGGGTTGAGATGGGAAGTTAGTGTCTGAGTGGATCAAGGTCATGATAGCTCAAGTGGTAGAGCAGCGGCGTATCTAGCCGAAGATCGTGGGTTCGAATCCCGCTCGTGCCATTGACTTTTTTTATCTCAACTAAAAACCTTAATTAATTGTAGTTGTTTCAAACCTTTTGTGAATAGACAAATTGAAACTTGTTATACTTACAAATACAAATTTTTCTGGAAAACAATTATAAAATAATCACAAGGAAAAATAGGTTGTGAGATTTCTTTGTGTTGTCTTTGAGTAAATGAATTATTACTGATCATTTTGGTCTAACCATCCTCGCTGTGTTGGTCGTTGCATTTTGGCGTAGTGCCATATAAATTGTTGGATTTGTGTCCTCATGAAGATGGTGAAAGGTGTTCAACAAAGAATTGAGCTGTTCAGGCAAAATTCTGTACAAATGTACATAATCTGAAGTTACTTCATGCTAATCAAATATAAAAATTGCTTTTTAATAAAATTTTAAATACTAAGCATTACTTATACATACCAGTTCTTTGATCTTGTATCACCTATTTTTTTTTTTTTTTTTTTTTTTTGGCTTTGCCATTTCAGCATCCGCCTTGTATTACCTAAAACATTCTGAATCTGCTACAAGCCTTGTTATTGTGAGTTTTTCCGTTCTAATTGGACCTGTTAAACATTTAACGCTTTAGTATAAATTCTGAAGAAAACTTACAAAATTATACATACCTTCTTTGAAACATCAAAGGCTAAATTATTTTGCAATCATTAGTGTTATATTGAATAGAATACACAATTTAAAAAAAAAAACAACCACTATATTTTACGCACATGGAGTGAAAATATTTTGAAATAATTACTAACTTTGTTGAATATTTTTACTTGTTCAAATTTAGCGATTAATAAATACGGCAATGAGAATAATCAGCCCAGATAGCCTTTTGTTCTGTTATTAAGCAGGCTTATTAATTTTTGAGTAAACGATATTGAACAATCAAGCAAGTAAAAATATTTCAATTTTTTTGTGTGGTGATTAGTGACAGTTAATCGATATTTATTTAGAAATCATGAGATGCGGTCTGGTGTGATGTAGGTTTCAGACTGCATCTCACGATTTCTAAATAAATATTTCAATTATTAATTTTTTTCTGTGAATATTATCTATGTACTTTGATTCAATACATTTATTTAATACTTAACAGCTTTTTGTTAAATAGATTTTTTAAATACTTACAAATATACATTGCTGGAAAGAAAGTTATGAAATAAAGTCATTGCACAGATAATGATATAGTTACTTATTATTATAATCTTTGTAAAAATTAAGGTATGAAAAAAAAAACATTGTGACCACTCATAAAAACGGTAAAAAATTAAAATTGTAGTGCTATTATTAGGATAATACATAATTAAATTACTTACTTTGTATCCCCTACTAGGATAATTGCTAGCTTCTGGTTGAATTGAAGTCGTGTAGGGCTTGAGTGATCAAACAAGAATATGGTCTGTACACATACTGCATCAAATTTGTTAATATTCATGTCAAATATTTGAATATTGCCATCCGAAGTAATAGCTGCGAATATCGAACTCGAATAAGGCGACCATGTAACATCTCCGACCGCACATTCTAAATCATAAACTAGAAGTGGTTTGCTACGGTTCGACTCCCATATTTTTATAGTCCAGTCGTCGCTGCAAGACATGAATATGTCAGTGATGTACGTGTTAAAAGTAACACAATTCACGGCCATGTCATGTCCTAGATATTTAAACGTTGGTGTTGTGGCGTAGGACACATTGCACTGAAATATATCGCCTTCGGCAGATCCGACCAAAAAGGCTTCGTAGTTTTCAGGATGAAGGGTTAAACATTGGGCAGTGGCAGGGAGTGTCAATTTAACACCCATGATGTCATCTAAATGGTCATTGTCCAAATATAATGTAGTTATGTTAAAATGAAGTAAGCATGTTTCTACGATGATCCATTTTGTTACTTTCCCATCAAGCGCTACAGACAGGAAACTCAATTTTCCATCTCTTGGATCAGAACTCCATTGCACTTCCCAAACAGGTCCAACATGTTTGTTTTCAAGCGTGCTTGAAAAAACTGTTTCTTCTTCTATCAAATTGTGAACTGATACGGTACCGTCGTACAACCCTACAGCCATATAATTCGGTTTGGACTTGTTAAAGTTGACACACATAGCTCCGCTTCTTACTCTTATAACTGATTCAGGAAATGCAGGATTTTTTAATGAATAAACGCAAATCATACCAGTTTCGTATTTAGCACAGAATTTAAAAGATCCATAAGCAACGCAGAACATATCTTGATACTTGGGATGCCATGATATATATGTGACGGTCAACCCGACACTTTCTTCATAGGAAAACTCCCACAATGGTAAAACCGCCCCTTCTAAAATTCTGTATGTATCAGCCGGATCATCATAAAAGTGACAATCCAGTGCAAACTCTTCATACATGTACTGATTTACCATTCTTTCCATGAGTTGAGTCCCTTTGAGGAGACGCACAAATATTGATTCTGCTGGGGTCAAAACAACCTTAAGCTCTTTTTTTTCTTTCTTTTTTAAAACAAGTGCTTTTAGTTTTTTTGCTTTTTCTTTGACTTGTTGTTGTAAGTCATAATCGTATCCATAATAATCTGTCATGTTCCATTGCGTTACAATTCCCTTCATTGATATTCTGGTTGGAGCTTTTGTTTGTGTTGTTTTGTTTCTTGTTATTATTGGGGTTGTAAGTACTGCCCTTTCGTTAAAATTAAATTGATTCGGTAACTTTTTATCACCTGTGTCAAATTCTTCATAATCAAAAGTGTCTTTTTCTTCTTCTTCTACTTCTTCTTCCCTCATTTCCTCTTCTTCAATAATTTCTTCCTCTTCTGCTAATTCCTCTTCAAGTTTAGTATTGTCTTGCGAGGGAGGTAGAAATTTTAGAATGGACAGATTATCATCCTCATCTTCAGGTTCGACTATGAATTTTTCTGGCTCTAGCCTTCTTCTCTGCATAATTGCTTCTGGTGAATCATGGACGACAACATTCCCTTCTATCTCATATAGGAAAACTTCTGTTGCTTTTGTATCAGTTGGGACAAATTCTCCACTGCTGTATTCATACATAACATGGTGGATAACATGAAGGGGATCGGTTGGCGTCAATTCACGCTGGTAAATCATGGTAAGGTCAATTTCTTCTTTTTCCTGTGCTTTTTTATCTTTCTTACTTTTTTTCTTTTTCTTCACCAACCTTTCTTGAAACCTCTGTCTTTTTATAAATGAGTCGTCTTTACTTTTCTCTTGTTCCTCAAGTTGTTTATTTGCCTTTATTTCTTGTCTGAGGTATGTGTATGAATCAACCGATTCTACTGAGGGCGCACGAGTTATATCAAATTTCTCAGTCGTGACGTATAGTTTGTCAAATTCAGGGTTAACAACCCACAATGGGTGGGAGGCAGGATATTTAGACATTTTTGCTTGGTTGTTGAGCCAAAATTATTTTCTATTAGTTATAAATAAAGAACTTAAAAGTGTAAACTAAATACTTTCTAGTCTAATATTTTATTTTTATTTCCCTGGTAACAATTGCTTATTAGGTAATAAAACATATGTATATTAGTACTTACTTATCAACATTAAATAATTAACAATTAATTAAGGTTTTCAGTTGAGATAAAAAAGTCAATGGCACGAGCAGGATTCGAACGTGTGATCTTTGGCTTGACATGCCGCTGCTCTACCACTTGAGCTATCGTGACCTCGATCCACTCGGACACCAACTTCCCACATCAACCACACCTTTTGAATTTTCCCTCCTTTTTGCCATTTGTCAATCGAGGTCACGATTTTGTAACTTTTTATGTATCTCATCTTATTTAATACAATCTTACATATTATTTTCTTATCCTACATAAAAAATCAGATTATGTAAACGTATAAACATGCAAATACATGCACAACAAAGACAGAAATGCATAGTAAACAAAAATTAAATTACTTAAAATATATATATATTTTTTTGGCTGGTTCATTGGCAAGAACAATGGAAGAAAGTTTCATAAAAGCATTGATCCTAGCCTTCCCATGTGAGTAAATATTGATACAAAAAAGTTTTAAAAAATATCTAAAGTTGAACGTTATTTTATTGTAATTAGTATCTTACAATTAATTAAGGTTTTCAGTTGAAATAAAAAAGTCAATGGCACGAGTGGGATTTTCGAATCATCGGCTTGATACGCCGTGCTCTACCACTTGAGCTATCGTGACCTCGATCCACTCGGACACCAACTTCATACAACTTTTATGGAGTGGATCAAGGTCACGATAGCTCAAGTGGTAGAGCAGCGGCGTATCAAGCCGAAGATCGTGGGTTCGAATCCCGCTCGTGCCATTGACTTTTTTATCTCAACTTAAAACCTTAATTAATTGTAAGATATTAATTGGTCAAGCGGACCACGAAACTAGTGAATTTAATAAGTTTAAAATGAAGTATACTTCACTAAAGCTCTCTGTGGCCATTTCATTTGTCGCCGAGAATCAAATTGATTACACAACATTTGAAAAATGGCAAAAAGAAGAGAAAATTCTAAAGGTGTGGTTGAGATGGGAAGTTAGTATCTGAATGGATCGAGGTCACGATAGCTCAAGTGGTAGAGCAGCGGCGTATCTAGCCGAAGATCGTGGGTTCGAATCCCGCTCGTGCCATTGACTTTTTTTATCTCAACTGAAAACCTTAATTAATTGTAAGATATTAATTGGTCAAGCGGACCACGAAATTAGTGAATTAAATAATTTAATTAAAGTATTATCACTAATAATACTGTTTTGAAATATTGAGAAGAAATTGTTATGAAATTTATGTATAATATTAATAATTTTGTTGTAGCATGTTCTGGTTAACAAATGAGACTGTAAATATTTGGTCTCACATATTTGGATGGATGCTGTTTGTCGGTCTCACTCTTTATGATTTGTGCCTGCTCAACATCCATGCTTCACTGACTGATAAGTTTATCGTAGGCTTATTATTAGCATGTTTTCAGGTAAATAACAATGTAAACTTGATGAAATAATTGAAAAGTGATGCTTATAGTAATATTTATTTTACAGATATGTATGCTCATGTCTTCACTTTATCACATATTTTCGTGCAGAAGTGAAGAACACTTCAATGCTTTCCTGTCGTTTGATTTACTAGGGATTGCTCTGAGCATGCTAGGTATATACATGACTGGCGTTTATTATGCGTTTTGGTGTAATAAGGTAATCGCTGTTAATTTTTTTTAAAAATATTTAAAATAATTTTTTAAATATAATTTGTTTAATAGGGTTGGCAGTCATTTTATCTATCCACTGTGTTAGCCATATTTCTGGTCGCCATGGCATTGCAAGTGCCAAGATTTAATGTGGATTCAAGCATAAAAATCACCACTTTTGTATGCTGGGCGACGTACGGCGTCATACCTACCTTGCACTGGACGGTGATGATGGGAGGTCTTGAAAATCCTCTCGTTGCAGTGAGTTTTGTACAATTTAAAAATTCTTCTACATAAAAAAAACTATGTAACTATTTTTAAATATCTTTTCAGCTCTTGCTTCCCAGAGTTGTAATGATGTATGTGATTATCACAATCGCTTTTGTAATTTACATCACAAGAATTCCTGAGCGATTCTTTACAGGTATTTATTTTCTTTATATAATATTTTGTTCTACTTACATTCTAAAGTTTCAGTTATGTTCAATAAATTTGTAAAAAATATTTTCTGTTTGCAGGAAGAGTCGACTACATAGGATCGTCACATCAATGGTGGCATTTCTTTGTCGTCCTTGCGCTTTACTATTGGCACAACACTGGAATAAAATACATTGAATATAGAATGAACCACGGCTGTTTATTTGATTTTACTTCATGACAATCTGCTAAGGAAACATTAAATAAAATTAATATTTATAATCTGTTAGAATAGATCTCCATTATTCCAAATCTGCGCTGCAAATATTTATTTAAATTACAATTTATATGATCTAAAAATAAATTTATAAATCAATTACCGCCGTAAGAGCTGTAGGGGATGTAAAATATGTTCCAGAAAAGTGCCCTTATTATCAGTCAGAGTAGATTTAGATTGACTTTTTATTTCATTTGACTGGAGAGGCTTTCGTGTAATTGCCTTTTTACTACGATCAGCTCTCTCGTTCCAGTGAGCAAACTGTGATAAATCATGATATTTCTGGACAATTTTAGTTTGTTGTTTTTGATGGAAGCTCAACGAATAGTTATTAATTTTATCATTAACAACATTTAGAAAATTTGAAAGAAATCGATTAATTTCCTATCAAGCAAACATGGTTGAGGTTTTGCAATTTTTTTTTACTATGGAACATTTTTAAGAATCCATGTAATATTTATTAGGCAAAAATATTGCAATATCATGTATTAAGAGTTATATATAAATAATGTCATTTTTGCTTTATGCTTGTACAAATATTTATCAATGATTTGTGTTTTATAAAAAAAATATGTATATTTAACCAAGATTTTTCTGTTAAGTTATAGAAATAACATTAGTTAGTTTTATTTAATATTTTATTTAACAAAATAGAACTAGTATGAAATAAAATAAAAATAAAACTGGGCTTGCAGAGATTTGTAAATATTTATTAAAACGCTAATTCCATCAAAAACAACAATAAATATATTTTGATATGTATGTAATAAAAAACTTATTGAATATGAGCAGTAGTATATATTCATGAAAGAAAAGCATAAAAAAATTTATTATTATATAAATAGGAATTAAAAATAAAATACAATGTTTGTATCTAAAATAATTTATATGTTTCTTTTATAAATTATGTTGAATTTTTATTTTTATACTCTGCTATTTACAGTAAATACTGAAAGTTATGAATTAATATGAAAGTATAAAACACATCTAAGTTAACATTGAAGTTTCAGCGAAAAATGTCTTCCAATAAGTATTACAAAGTAGAAATAAATTTTGGTTATTTTATTTTCGTAGCTGTACTTAACTTTTCTACATGCCAGTTGAAAAGTGATTTATATTTTTTAATAAAAGTTGTAGTACAAAAGATCATTGTTTACGCTATCTTTTTAACAATAATTAAAATATGAAAGTAATGAGATAAGTAAATAAGCATATATACAATAGTTTCTTTTTATTTCATGTTAATGTAACCTCGATGAAATAAAATCTAATTGTGTAGATTGTTTTTAAGAAATGGTTTAAGGTCAGATGGTTGTGTATATGCTATCTTCACCTGTGGTGAATCTTGGTCGCATATCTGTGATATGAAGGGGTTTTGTTTTATTTTAATAATAAAAAAATCCTAAAAAAATTGTTTTATTTTAACTCCGTTTAAATCATAAAGCAATAACTTATGTTGGATGACCTTCTAGGGTCAGATCCTGTTGCCCTGGTGACTTGATCTTTTTGACTTCGATGGTACCCATGTCTTCACTTCAAACTAAGGATCTCCTCCTCTCAAACTATTTCCTGAATCTAAGATCCTACCTGATAATTACAGTCAACTTCCAAAAAAAGCAATAGTTTTCTTAAGCACACTCTATAACACAACCCTATAGAATAGAAGTTCTCTAATTTTCTGCCAATCCATAAACCCAATAAAATTCATCACCTTCCAAATTTCTATTGTCCTGTCAGTGTATTATCATTTTTTTGGAAAATCTTACAAAACCATTTAAAAACCAATCCTTCTCATTCTCAATTCTTTAATATTATCCTGGACCATACAACCCTCACTACTACTGGCAAACTCACTGCTGCAGTTGGAGAGGAGTGATATGATTATTAACCGGACATTGCATCTGAGAAAACACTACATAACAAAGGCATATGTAACGGCAATCCCATTTGCAAATTATGTAATGAGGAGGAAGAAACAGCCAACCATATCATCTTCGAAACCGAAGAAACAGCTCAATGGAGACATGACCTAGCATACAGAAGAAAACCTAGGGAACAAAATTGTGGTACCAACAGTCGATGACATAATAGTTCTGAGAAGAAGGATTGAGTTGATTTCACTGATCTGTACAATATGACAGAAGGCTGCAGTGCATGGGGAGTACAAACCCCGCTTCCTAGTATCCATCATCATCATCCTGGACCATCAATTTTGATATATTCTACTGAACAGTGTCATCATGTATTAGATACCATTGTATTCTCTCAAAAAGAAAGACTGCTGCTCAAGGGCCTTTATTGATGTGGAACCAGGCTTTTGATTGAATCTGGCATCAGGGTTTACACTGGACGCTGAAGAGCATCTTCTAGCAGTTTTGTTTGGATCCTTTCCTTTGAAAAGGGTGGACGCAGAAGATCCACAGGGTAGCGTCCTAGTTTTATTGTTAAAATCAGTATTCATGGCTGAGATCCACTCTCATTTCGATACTATAGGACATACATAAAACTGGTCCTAGTGCACTGCCTTATGGTACACCAGTATGTATGGACTAAGATATGATTCCATCGTACTACACTGAGAATGTCCAGGGTTGTAAAAATAAGCAATAATTCTGTACAGTGTGTCCAACAAATATTTCTTTACGTTCACCAAAAGCCATACACGGCAATAGCGTTTTTTGGTGTCCAGTATTTTGTTGACTACTTGAAAAAGTTAAGATTCAAATATTTAAATTAACAGAGGATGAGTTAATTTTATAATTACTGATTACTGATTTATAAAAGCTCAAATCTGCACATGTATATGAACTTGATTATTTAGAGACTGTGAGATGCAGTCTGGTGTGATGTGGGATTAAAAAACATTTTCTTTATTGTGCCAATATTTCAATCTTTATTGAGATCATCTTCAGGGCCTGGGAAGATGATCTCAATAAAGATCAAAACTAATCCATATTTGTTTAGTGGCCATAATTGACCATATTAATTATTCCAATTAATTATTCTTTTCATCTCAACCTGAAATTAAAATCCACATGAGGGTAAAATAAAATACAAGAAAATAGCTAAAACCAAGATGAACAGGAATGATCAAGCAGCAGAGAAAAATTCAACCTTTAATGAATCACCTAAAATATTATTATTATACAACATCTTAATAATTCAATATTTCAGGCTGAAAGTCGCAAAGATGAAATTCAAAAAATCAAATACCAGGAGATAATAAAACTGTTCATCAGTGCCGGTTATTTCCGTGCGGAAATTAAAGGGCTGAGTGAGTTTGACAAAGTTGTCAGAGGGATGACCTGGTGCATTGATGTATGTACGACTTGGATGTTAATCTCCTCTTCCAGGAGAATTCAACCATCGGTCAAAAAATGTAAAATGTTAACTAAGAGATTAAAATGAATGAATAATTTAACTTTTTTTTTTTTTCAGCACTTTAACCGAGAAAATAGTAGCTGTTTTACCAAAAATGAAATGCCCTTATACAATAGAACCTCATCAGATCCAGGGTTTAGACTTTATTCACATCCATCCTGTTATAGAAGTACGTTTCGTTTTTGGTACCTTTGTAAGCTTTGTCTTTCTAAACGATATCCTTGGTTTCAGAGGATGGTGAAAAAATCACTGGAAAACAGGGAAGAAAGAGGCGACTATATTAGACAGTATGCGGTTCATCAATTCAACATGCAGTACTGTTTCCCGAATGAAAGGCCAAATGAAAATTTCATTTTGAGATATATAAACAAAGCTAAATCGTCAAATGTAATTTATAGACTATAATAAATACTTTTTACTATTATCTTTTATACAAAACACTTTAGTTTATATTGAATTTATAAGAGTGAGGTCCTGCGAAATTAAATATGTCTAAACTAGATTTTTTACAAATTTATTTGTACTTAAAATTGGGCCAAGTGCGACCCAAACAGTGCATAACATAGTACAGTTTGGAGGGAGGGAAGCATTAGGGAATCCACGGTGCAGCGATGCTTTCAGAGATTTTTTCTTGGAGATTTCAATCTCAAGACTGAGAAGGTCATGGTAGGCTTTCCTATGTAGATGACCAATTCAAAACGTTGATTGAAAAAAATTCAAGTAAAGCAACATGGGAAATTGAGGAACAGCTTAGTGTCGACCACTCAACCGTTCTTCACCATCTGGAGCAAATTGGTAAAGTAAAGAAGCTCGACAAGTGGGTACTGCACGAACTAACCTAAGCTCAAAGAAATAGATGCTTTGAAGTTTGCACATCTTCATCACCAAAGTGATCCAATTTTAGATTGAATCATCACGTGCGATGAGAAATGGATTCTGTAATATCACAGGAGGCATACAGGTCAGGGCAAGGATGAAGCACCAAAACACTTCCCCGAACCAAAAGAGGTTATGGTGACTGTTTGGTGGTGTACTATTGGGGTTGTTCACTATAATTTCCTGAATCATGGTGAAACTATCACAGAAAAGAAATACTGACCCATGGGAAACTGCAACATCTTTGTCCATCATTGATAAACCGTACCGTAAGATCACAGGAGGCATACAGGTCAGGGCAAGGATGAAGTGCCAAAACACTTCCTCAAACCGAAAAAGGTTATGGTGACTGTTTGGTGATGTACTACTGAGGTTGTTCACTATAATTTCCTGAACCATGGTGAAACTATCACAGAAGAGAAATACTGACCCATGGGAAACTGCAACATCTTTGTCCATCATTGGTAAACCGTACCTTCTTCACGATAACACCAGGCCATATGTCACAATGCCAACCCTGCGGAAACTTAACAACGTAGGATATGAAACTTTATCGCACCCTTCATATTCACCCGAAATCTCGCCTACATACTTCCACTTTTTTATGCATTTTGATCATTTGATCACTTCTTGAGAGATAATATTTTTAGAAATGCCTTCCAAGTCTTTATAGTCGGAATAAAGATTTTTATACCAGTGGAATAAAAGCGCTTATTACACATTATCAAAGATGTATAGATTGTGATAAAAAATAAATTAAAAATAATTTTGACTTCATTTTGAAAAACTGCATTATTTTTGCATTAGTCAAATACAAGTAGTAAAATTTTTGCCGTACGGTCTTAACTTCCAACTACGCGTAGGGTACCACAACAGAACTACTTTACTACACACGTTTCCAAATTTAAGTCTAAATGTACTCCAAAATATTATAAATCAAATCCAAAAGAAGTAAAGGGCGTAAAACCTATTTCATTTAGAAAAAAGTCTTCATCTTGCCATTTCATGACTTTGAAGGAGCAAAAGTTTAGGCCGGTGGTTGTGCGTGTTTGCGTCGTTCGCCCCTACTTAAGAGGACTTGGAAGACCTTTGCTTTTAGATTTACTGTAAATTTCTCTTTAGGGTCGTATTATTTACGGAATTTTTTAAAATTTACAAATCCTATTTTTTACATTACAAAAGACCGCTAGAACATGGATTTTTTATAACAAAATTATAGCCAA